CCGCGCTGGAGGGTGCTGTTGCCCGCGCAGAGCCCGCTGCCGCCCGGCGCGGGGGGAGCGGACACAGCCTGCCCGGACCCGCATCCTCGCAGAGCTGCCATCAGTTCTGCCCAGCGGTCTGTCTCCTTGCCCTCAGGCTCTCGGAGTAAGGTGAGTTAGGAAGTGAGGACCGCAGATTTATTGTATTTTTCCGGCATGGTAATAATTTCTTTAAAAAAAAATGAGAGAAGGGACTGTCTCTGCCTTCCTTTGCTGTGGTTACTGTCCTGCTTCCCTGCTAGTGTCCTGAACAAGTTATCAACCCTCTTCCCCAGCACCTTTTTTCTGGTAGAAGGTTCAGCATGCACTGGGATGTTGCCTTATCTCTGGTACAATATTCTTACCATACAGAGGTGGGAGAAGAGGAAGAGGGAAAAAGAAATGTTGCCTCTGCTGCTGTGACATTAGTTTCGGCATGTTGATCCTGGTTTTCTCTCATGCTAACTTTTCCTCATTTTCCTACTCACTTAATGTTTTGCTATTTACCTTATAGCTTGTACCTAACGGTGCAGCCTGGGGTAGGTGCTTGCATCTTGTGCTCATGTGGAATCTATTTAAGACCCTTTGCAGGGCCTCATTCCAAACTATGTGCCCTTCAACCTAAACTCTGTAGCAGGAGTCTTGATTTTTTGAGAGACCTATTTAGAGTCTTGTAACACATGGGAAAGTTTGGCAGCATCGTAAGCTGAGCGAAAAAAGCTGGGGTTGCGCTGCTGAATTAAGTACAGAAAGGAATTGTGTGTACTTTGTCTTTTCTTCACATTGTACCTTGTGCTGACAAAGAAACCTAAGTTAGCGAAGCAGAAATATGTGATAAATGCTTTGGGGTGGCTAAGCCAAACAGCTTGAAATCAGTTTCTGGCAAAGGGTTTGCCCTCTCTGCTGCGTGAGGATTCATACTCACTTGCTAAGCCTGAGCTGGTACCCAGCCAGGGCAAGCCAGCAGATGGGGTTCAGAGCGTGGCCGGTGCTGTGGCATGCTGAGCCTGGCTTGGAGCTGCGCCAGGCTCCAAGGTAAGTTCTGCTCGCCTTGTGCCTTGTCTGGGCTTTATGTTGCAGGATATACTGGTAATAAGACTGCAGAATTCCATTATTTTTCCTTAAGGGACCTAAGAATATTTTTCTATGACCTAACCTGCAGGCAAAGTGCCTATTCTTTAAGCTTTAGTTTATAGGCAGCAGTGCTTCTAAAACTGCTTGAGACTTCGTATGGCTATTAGGGATTAGTTGGAGGAGTGTCTTTAGGGCAGCTGAGCAATTTCTGTCAATCATCTCCCTTACGCAGATTTGGAACACGTTCTAGAATAAATATAGTCCCTGCATAATTCTAATAAAATAAAGAATCACGTACCCCATCTGGGAGGCTTAATTTCTGATTGTAACTATATAAATCAAGAGAAAGCATCTCTCTCAAGAATATTTTTAAACTCAGACAGTGATTAAGTTACAAATGCATTTTTCATGTCCTTATTGTGAAATGGAGGTCAGGATAAAATACAATCAGAAGATTGAAACTAAGCTTTTGGGTATAGAACCTCATCCATTAAATTAGTGTTTCTCACTGGGTTTTAGTTTCACTACATTCAACAGCCTGAGATAGTTGAGTTCAAGAGAACAGTCTCACAACAACAGAGAATCAGAATCTGTTTCCAAAGTGTATATCCAAACGGTAGAGCCTTTGAAGGCTGTACCATACCTGTCTCCAACACTGATTGTCTGAATAATAGCACAGATAATGTTACTGTTTCAGTAAACTCCATGAAGGTCAAGGAGAGAGCAAAATCTGCACTCCCTTTATAGCAGGATCTTTTGAAAATAGTTGAGACTGAAAGCAAACTTAAGTGTTAGAAGTCCATGAATAGTTCAGAAAAGGTAACTGCTAATTAATTATTCTTAATCATTGAGAAGCAAGGAAATTCTGTCTCCCATTTCCCCCCATCAGTTTTCTTCTCTGAATAGCAAAGAACTAAAATCGTCTGAACAAGCTAATAAAGTCATCCAGGAAGTTGAGCTCATTTCCAGTATTAGAATAAATGCTGTACCTACAAAGGAGGTGAGTTCATAGGAAGCTGATGGCAAGCTCTGTTTCCCTATATGTTCAAAGCTTTGTCTTTTTCAAAAAGCACAAAAGAAGTGATGTCTTAGTGGTTAAATCAAAGCTTCCATCATTTACCCCTGAAATACTTCTAGCAAATTAGAAATGTTGGGAGTCAAGACTGCTAGATTGTGTGTGCTGAGTGCTTACCTATGGTCAATGAAAGATCCTTTAAAGGGCATAGGTCTAACCAGTGGAGCTTTTCATTACATAAGATAGTTTGATACTTGTGTAAAGGTTGATTTCCATATCATGTTGCTCAAAGAGCTATTGAGATGTGGAGTGAATATTGTAATAATGCAATGCTTGTCATTAAGTATCTGTTTGGAAGCATAATGATATTTTACCTTGTATTCTTCCCAGCAACTGGGGGATATTTTGTTCTTCAAAAGTTGTTAGCCCATTTTTGCATCTAGGCAAGTCAGGTGGATTTTGCCATGTCGAGTAGATACAGGAGCATAAAGGAGAACATGACCTCAAAAGTAGATGGGGATAAGTCACAGCCCCCACGTTCAGACTGGAAGCATAGCGTAGGTCTCCTTATGGTTTTGACTTAGCCTGTATACCCAAGGGATCATAAAGAAAATGTGTGTTTGCACACATCCATTACCCACAAAACATCCACAGGTTAGACCTGCAGTTAAGGTACATGTTCATCTTATGGAGCAGTCACATAAAAAAAATCAATGTTAGCTTGTATTTCCTTACCTATAAAGGCAAAAGGATAGCAAAGAATGACACAATTTAAAATTAGTGAGAGACAGCATGTTTTCAAGTGTGCACACTAAGTGGAGTGGAAAATGTTCCTACGCTCTTTCTCTGAATTCCAGTATTAGAGTTTTACATTTCTGCTTATTTTTCCTCTCATGCAAGTTTCTTGTAGAGCACGAGTGATTACCCTGGCCAGCTAATTCCATTCTGAGATTGTAATGTATTATACCACTTCTATTAAAACAGGAAAGGGAACTTCCTCTTTAAAGCTACGCATTACTAAGGAGGATTTCTGATGGGCGGAGTTTTCCCTTGAGCAGGCTAGATAAAGGCTTGCAGGATTTACAGACCTCTCAGACTGCAACCAGCATGAACTGCAGCCTGCCAGCCAGGGTGCTGCTGCTCAGCCATGCGATGGATGGACAGCAGGACAGGTTGTGCCTGCAGTCTCTCTGGGACTCCATCACAGCCAAAGAGCCACTGATCAACTCACCATTTTTTCCAGTGCTGTTTTCTTTTACAGCATACATAGCTTTCTGTCTTCCATATATTGTGCTGGACTTTTTAAGCACTAGACTACCAAACTTGAGAAAATACAAAATCCAGCCGCAGACCTTTCCAACTCTTGGAATGATGGTGCCTTGCATTATTCAAAGCGTCTATCACCATGTTGTTTTGATCTTCCCGGTGACCTTTCTCCACTGGTACTGGAGACCAATGAATCTACCAGTGATAGCTCCAGAGCTGCCTGAGGTCCTGCTGGAAGTAGGAGTTTGCCTGCTTCTGTTTGATTTTGAGTATTTCCTGTGGCATTTGCTTCATCACAAGGTGCCCTGGCTCTACAAGACCTTCCACAAGGTGCATCACAAACACGTGTCAACGTTTGCTCTTACTACACAGTATTCCAGTGTATGGGAATTACTCTCACTGGGATTTTTTGCTGCTATTAACCCAGTGCTCCTCGGATGCCATCCTTTGACAGAAATGGTTTTCTTCCTTGTAAACATTTGGTTGTCAGTGGAGGACCATTCAGGATATGACCTTCCATGGTCAACTCACCGACTTGTGCCTTTTGGTTTGTACGGAGGAGCACCGCATCATGATCTCCATCATCTGAAATTTAAATCAAACTACGCTCCTTACTTCACCCACTGGGACAAACTCTTCGGGACATTCACAGAGTCACATTCTAATTAAGGATATTTACCTGTGGATGAACTCTTATTTTTTTATAGACTGAACTGGGACTTTCGTATTTCAAAAACATACAGAAGATTGTATATTTGAAGCTATCTATAAAACCAGTAGCTATTTATAAGAGATCCTCTTAATATATGTGGTTTTGTATGTATACTTGGAACTGTTTATGTTAAATGACTGCAAAGGGGAGGGTAAATCTCTGTTGCTTAAATTTGTTTGAGTCAAAGGTGTAAGGGAAGCACTAAGAGACATTCTCTCTTCTTTCCTTCTTTCCAGCTTTCATAAAGCATATATTGTATTACTGTGTGATGTTTTCTACATATGCCAGAACAATTATCTTGCTGTTGTAGGATGATTTATGATCTAAACAGGAAAGGTACACATTGTGGATTCTGTGGAGTTAATATGCCAGAGGGTATTATTGCACAATGATGTTGTAAAATATTGCTGCCAAACAAAGCTAGTTGGTTAACTGTACAATAATTTTTATATTTATATTTTGAACCTTGATGTACTGTCTGTTTTTAATAGAAAATAAATATGGTAATTCTTTTAAAATTACATTGTTTCATTTTATTCATTCCTCTGTTCATGTTAGGAACAGGTATGATTCTTTTTGCATACATGTCATTTATTTGAATTTCAGAGTTTCAGGTTTTCTTATTAAAATAGTGTCATGTTATTTCCAAAACAAGCCATTTACTTTTTTCTCCTGAATCACACGTTATTTTCAAATAATTTTCAATTTTGTAGAAACAGAATATTGTAGAATGCAGTTTAAAAAGCTACAGTGAAATTACATTTACATTTGTGAGAAGCTTGAATAATTTTCACTACATTTATGGTGTGAGAGCAGAACATTAAGCAGCCCCTTAATATGAGGGAGCGTTGGTCTGTCACAACCACACCAATTAATTGTTATGGGCATGCAAAAACCTGTCAAGGAATACAAACAGGTTTTCTACAAAATAGAGGATTCTCTGAAGCAGATTTCAGAGGAATAGAATATAACCTTTCATATTAGAACAAAAAGGCTAAATGTAGCTAGAAGAAGTTATGTGTAAAAAATTCCCATGTAGTCTCACAGAGATTACACTAAAAAATAAGCATGAAGAGATAAGCAGGTCTTCCATGTCTCATTCAGCAGAGATCCACATGAACTTCTTATGTCCACTGCATAATATTTTAATGCTTATAACTTTCTATCCTGTCTTATGAATAAACTTCTCAGGATTATGATAGGGACAGAGAAAGTACAAATAATATGGAGAGTGTGTTACTAACACTTACGCATCATCATCCAAAAATGTCTTTGTCATTATGTTATGTCTAGAGGGTCGTGTGACCTTACAGAGGCTGTTTGTCCAGCAGAAGAGAGAGCCTGTAGTATTCCCAACAATGTGAACTTATAAAGGGAACAGGACTTTTGGACACTCTGCATCTTTTTGATAACAGGAAATTATTTAAGTATCTTCATAAACAGCATGAAATGCTGCAAACTTGCCACTCAACTACTCCTTCTGCTCTCTAGATATCACATAAGAGCAAACCTTCTTTTCAGTGGTAAGGACATGACACAGAATTGTATTCTGAGAGCAAAAACCGAGGCTTAGAAGAATACAAAACTGGAATTTTTGCTATGCGTTTGTTCAGCTGAAAGAAAGAAGTCTCAATCTTTCTGATAATTATGATCTTTAAGTATTTTGGAGTGCACTACAAGGAGGAGCAAGTATTCTTTTTTTCCTGTCAAATACAGGAGGCAAAATACAGTCTCTGATTTCGTTGAGTTTTTTAGCCATTTTGAGGTATCCCAAAGTTACCCTCTCAGTTCTAGAAATCCCCCTTAATTCTTCTTGGCAAATACTGAGTATCTGATGGGGGTGCTCTGTGGTTTTGACGGGTTATACCTTATACCATAACTACATATCATAACTATACACTGTAACAGTCTCTTTCATGTACTACTGGATCTCTAAAAAGGCAAGGTTATGGCTAACTGGTACTTGGATACGTCTCTATAGGAAGCCAATGAGCAAATCCCACAAGAAAAGTTGTAGCTGAACCCATGGGGATTATTCTGCTTTCTTGCGTGAAACTTGAGAGTTGATACAAAAAATACTTTAGTACTGGAGAAAGAGTCCTAGTCAGCTGCTGGTGAAACTCTGCTTGCTCTTGTCAAGTGAGATAATCTCATTTGGCATTGACAGCATAGCGTAACAGCAGTGAGGATGATCAAAACGACAACGGAAGGAAGCAAGGTACAACATGATGATCCTGCCTCCTACTCTCTTCCTCACATCCTCAATGTTTGCATGACTTCAGACACGCATCAAGAATGCATTTCCTCAAATATGGAATTTCCTCCAGCTTATATCTGTACTGAACCTCTTGCCAATCAGACCTGGAATCTTGGTATAAAGGCTCGTTATTGCATGAACTTGGAATACCTGGGGGAAAAAAAAAAAGTTGTCATATGAAAATTTGACTAGTACATGTCCAGAATGGCTTGTTTTAATGCCATGCTAGAAATATCTGTGCTTAGTCACCATTACATAATCCTAGCATACCTTATCCTTATTTCTCCAATGTTTTGAAGGTAACCTAGGCTCTAAACCATGAGGGATTGAAATTACTTGCATATTATGTGTACTTTGAAATACTTTCTGTAACAGTGTACTCTAATACAACTTTAGATGTATGCATGAGAAATGCTCAAGAGCAGAAGACCTGAACAAACATGTAAGTTCAGGCCTTTGCAATTCAATGAAAAGCAAAATACAGACAAATACATATACTGAAGATAAAGCAAATGAAAGTTGTATTTTTTCCTGTTTTCATTGAAAGTTCAGCATATACTGTACTGCTGAGCGTGAGAGCACAGCAAGTTCTGTGTATTGATGGTGGTGAGATTTTAAAACAGGATTTTACAGCTGTTACTTCCTATATTTGTATTTCCCCATAGTCTTTACCACAAGTCTTTACCAGACAAATGGAACGGCATGACATTATTGTAAGGGTTTGTGTAAGAAACCCAAAATCAACTTTCTCTCTTCTATTCCAGAATTCTCTTGTCTTCCTTCCTCATTATAATGTGACATGATGTGCCACACAGACTTCCTATCTGATCTGTTGAGACCTAATCTGTTGTCATTTGTGAACAAATAGACAATGTTTGCATAGATCCTTGGAGCTATAAAATGAGATTTTTGATGCTGCTATGTCCACTTTATATCTTTAAAAATCTTAATTTAATTAAGGTCGAAGAATAAAATTTTATGCATTTTTCTTTGTAACTGTATTTTAGTTCTTAGGCATATGGTTCGATATTGAACTCTTGGTCAGATCTTACAAATTGCAAGAGTTCCTGAATTCTCACTGGCAATTTAGCACTAGACTTCTATTGAGATTTAGGCTGAGTTTTTCAAATGGTAACTTGGTTTGGCAACTTTGCCGTAACAGTATACGACAATGCAAGTAGACAGGTTTTTGCTTAGAGGGCATGTTCTCAGCATTGCCGGAAAGTGTGCTCCTTAGGTGCTCCAGAAAGACCGTGAGGCATTTAGAGCCATACTGAGTCTGGAAAAGGCTTTGTCCTTGTTCATGTTGATCAAATGCAAGTACTTTACAGGATGAAAAACAAGACCGTCTACAGTCTGCAGTTATGATATCTTATGTTTTAAAAAAATAATGGATGTCATTAATTAATTTAGTGACTCAGTTAATCTATTGTGTTATCTGGATTAAATGAAAAACAGTCACCTCTGGGCTATCAGACTATGCCATCTCTAAAGCTATTTTGAAACAATTTGTAGTGACAGAACACTTAATTGTCATCCATGTCCCTCAACATTATTGGAAGGAGTGAATAACTCTTTGGTGTGGCTAATATAAATATATATATATATATATACACAAACATGGACTCAAAGTCTTTTGAGTGGACTCAGCAGTCACTTCAGCAGTTTTACTTATTCTTGCAATAGGACAAGGGGTAATGGTTTTAAACTAAAAGTGGGTGGATTTAGACTAGATATAAGGAAGAATTTTTTACAGTGAGAGTGGTGAAATACTGGAACATGTTGGCCAGAGAAGTAGCAGAGGCCCCATCCGTGGAAACATTCAAGGGTAGGTTGAATGTGGCTCTGACCACCCTGATCTAGTTGAAGATGTCCCTGATCATTGCCAGGGGTTGGATGAGATGACCTTTAAAGGTGTCTTCCAACCAAAACTATTCTGTGATTCTTGCTTTCATGCACAACTATTAAGCTTCCACTCTTAACCTGCATACATCCATGCAATCCTTTTGAAAAAGATACCGTTCTGTCTCGGAAAAAATGAGTCAGTTTGGACTCTCCCAAAATGCAGCGCCCCATGGATTTATTCCCAGATTACCTTGTTTGAGAGACTAATCCGAGTGAGCCTACTATCACATTTACATGTAAACTGCATGTAAGACGTTGGCTTTGAGTGCTGGGCTTGGCTGATGTGCCAGTTTGTCCTGGTCCTGCATTGCTCAGTACAAGCCAACCTGAAAGGTCTTTGTAGCACAGTCCGGAGCTATGTTTGCAGTATGTTTTTCTCATAAACACTACTGCCAAACAATTGTTTTCCAGAACTGAAATGTGTTTCTAATTTATGGAAATTGGAAGTTGCTTAGGATACAAAAAACCCCACACGCCCCCAAAAACAACCAACACAAGCATTCCAGACTTTGAAGGGAACAGAATTAATGCAGAGAGGCCTCTAGCTGTGGAAAACATTGCTGAGTTTTTTTAATCATTCTTTTCAGACTTTCTTCTTTTTAAAAAGAAGGTTCGAAAAGCTTACTAATAATTTTGTCCCCCAGACACCAATAGTTGTGATCAAGGGTATAGATGTGGACAAGTGAAGGAGAGGAGGGGAGACAAACCCGCTGTGTCTGCAGGCACTTCCACCACTGCCCCTTGGTGCAGCACACTACCTGTCAGGTATGGATGGCGTGCTGCTCTGATACATCCTTCCCACCACAGCACAGATGCTTTTGGCCCTTGGGTTCTTAGCACTGGAGCAGTAGACTTCATATCTGCACCCAGCTTTCCCTTTTTGTTCCCTAGTTCTTTCTGGAAATTCCCACAGCAGCAAAACAGAGTGACCTGCAAGAGTGAACTCCACCTTTGGTCAGCATAAATGCAAATATACTTTTGTGTCATA